GGCAGGACAAGAAGCAATGGATGGGAACTAATCAAGGAGAGAAGCAACCTAGAACTAAGGAGAAATTTCCCAAAAGTGAGAACAATTGACCAATAAACGGCTTCCCTTCAGAAGTTGAGGATGCTCAATCAGTGGAGGCTTTTAAGAAGATGCTATAATTAAAAAGATCTATGAATGTGCAGAAATGGACAGAATGACGGGTTGGCTGAGGGACAAAGGAGGAACATTATCTTAGCTGGAACTTATGGTATATGTGGGTGACAAGGAGAACAGCAGGGACTTAAAACGGGGAAAGTTAAATAGCAGTTGTTAACAATGGGACTAAAAGTGAACATGGGTATTGTAATAGATCCCTGAATTTTGTAATGAGAAGATGTGGCTTAGAGACCTAACAATGAGGAAGGAAAAAAAGTTGGGCTGTGAATGACTGTCACCGCAGGGGTGGTGGTGGTATGTTTAAAATTGTATTTGTATTTGTATGTTTTATTCTTTAAAAAAATGTATAACTAATAAAGATTACAGTTATTCAGAAATAATAAAGATTACTTAAAAAAAATAAAAAATAAAAAAAGACCTGTCTGGGAAGGGAGCCCCTGAGAGGGGAGCAGCTCCTGCCCACCTTCTGATGCGGAAGCATGAACCATTGAAGGGTTCTGCTGTAGAACCTGGCCCACAAGATAACCCCAAAGTAAGATACCATCTTGCCCAAAACTTGGGAGAGAAGAAAAGATACCTTGAGGAGGCGCAGGACTTTCCTGACAATTTCTCTCAGATTGTGTATGAGGTCATTGGACAGATATATCCTTTCTGCCACGGTGTCTATTAAGACACCGAGGTGAAGAACGTGAGTCCTGGGTACAAGGTGACTCTTCTTGAGATTCACCTCAAACCTGTTATCTCGCAGGATGTGGGTGGTGAGAGTGAAATCCCTTTCTGCTTGAGACAGCAACCTGGAAGGAGAATGTTGTCCAGGTAGCAGAGAATCCGAATTGGAGATGTCCTGATGTGGGCGGCTAGTGCTGCCAGTACCTTTGTGAATACCCTGGGGCTGAGGACAGTCCGAATGTAAGAGCTCAGTACTGGAAGTGCCTCCTCCCCATAAAAGAAATTGAGATATTTTCGGTGGTCTATGAAGATGGGGATATGAAGCTTCCCTGTGGGAAGGTGTGCAGAGAATGCATCTTGAACTGCCGGTAGACAATATGACGGTTCAATGATTTTAGATCCAAAATTGCTCTCCATCCCCCAGGGAATAAAAGCCCTGCCCTTTCTGATGAGTAGGAACAGGTTGAATGGCCCGGATCTCCAGCAGGTGTTGGATGGCCTGTTCCATCAGTAACCTCTTGCAAGGACACTAAGAGACCGGGCATGGTATAAAGTGCTCCTGGGTGGTGGAGAGGAATTCCAGCATAAGGCCGAATTTTACAGTTTTGAGTACCCAATTGTCTATCGTGATCTCTTCCCAGTGGTGGGCAAAGAACACTAGCCGACCTCCGATTGGAAGTGAGTCCAGATAGTCATTTTCGTCATGAAAAATGGCGGTAAGACTTCTTAGGGGGGAAACGCTGGATGTCTCTGTTAGATCTGTCCTGGTTAGATCCCTGATTGGAAGTGAAGAATTGTCGCTGCAGATGGGAGAAGGAAGATCCCCTGTCCGCCAGCTGAAAGGGCGAACTCCTGTAGAAGGAAGAGGGGTGACTGTCCTGTTTCTTATAGATGGATGAAAGGACTTTGTGCTTGTCTTTAGACTCCGTAAGGTACGGATCCAAAGGAGTACCAAATAATTGGGTGTCACTGTAGGGGGAAATTGCTAGATGCCACTTGATATGGACATGCGCCTGCCATGGCTTCAGCCAAAGCAGATGCCTGGCTGTGACCAAAGAGACCATGGCTTTAGAAGCGAACCTGGCTGCATTGAGAGAAGAATCAGCAGCATATTCAATGGCTGCCCTAATCTTGTTGAGATCCTTATGTGATCTAGTGTCAGTGGGATCAATGCACTCCTGAAGTTGTTCAATCCAGACTAGGGCTGCCCTGGAGAAAAAAGAGGTTGCTGTGGAGGCCCCAGCAGCCCAAGCCCCTGCCTGATAGTTTTTGACTGTTTGGTCTGACCTTTTCTCCTCAGGTTGGGGGACTTCTTCAGGGGCTCCAGAGAGCACTGTAGGAGACGATAGAGTTGCAACCGGTACATCCACTGGAGGAGTCTCAAGGAATTTGGTGAGTTCTGGATTGATGTTATAGAGATGCTTGTTGAGGTTGATTGGCTGTGGACCTGTGCCCAGGAACTCCCACTGCTTTTGGATCACATTCATGAAGATCTTGAGGGCAGAAATCACCTCCTTCTCCACTGAAGGTTCAGTGAATGGAGTGCTGGAATGCTTGGTGGTAGCCGGTTCTGTTGTACCGGGGCATCCATGGTGACCACTTCGTCGTCAGAGAGATCTGAATCCCCAATATTATATTGCTCCCCACAGACGGAAGCCTGAGAGGTAGAAGCAGAGGGCGTAGGTTGTTGGGCAGCTGCAGAAGATCTGCACCTGTGGCTATGTGATGGAGCAGGCTGAGGGTGCTGTTGCAGTCCAGCAGCCATGACCTGCTTATTGGCTTCAGCAATTATGGTTGCCATATCTGGAGGTGAGGAGAGCATGGCCCGGGGAATCCCAGAACCATGGGCAACAGAGAGAGAAGCCTGTTCAAAAGTGCACTCCCTATTGAGAGAGACATCAAAGAAATGGCCTCTGTTATCAGATTCAATAGAGGAGGAAGACTCTGAAGAAGACAATTCCCCATCTGAATCAGCCATTGATGGACAAGGAACCATGGGAGGTAAGACTGGAGGTTCTGGGGAGGTAACTTGGAGCCATTTGGGAGCAGGGGGAGAGGTCTGAGCAGTTTGAATTTGCTGCTGTTTTGGGGCCTTCTGAAATTCTTTTTCTAGGGCCTTCTGTCTGCGCTCTTCTGCTCTGGTAGCAGATTTAGAGGCCTTGGAGTTCACCCCTGAGAAAGGAGCATCTTTGGCTGGTCTCTTCCTGCTGCTCCTTACTCCCGATGGCCCTGCCTCCTCTAAGCCTTTATCTGCTGCCACAGCCTGGTCAGCCATCTCATCAGAGATAGGTCAAGGTCAATATAAAGAAAGGCAATGGTCTCACCCATTTGATGGCCAGGCACTCCTGATCCGGTCTTGCTAGGAAGATTCTGGGTCACTGGGCACTTCCAACAACTGCTGCTGCCTTCATGCCTTTTTTAAAAGACTCCAAATGGTCACCGCTTTTTTTTCTGAGGCTTTTCAGAGCCTCAAAATGGCCACCACTTTTTTTCTGAGGCTTTTCCAAGGCCTCAAAATGTTGCGCGTCCTTCCGAGTGCCCAGAGACGAGAAGTGCCTTTTAGAACAGCTGTGGAGCTTTAACTCGTGAGCTGGTCGATCTGACAGCAAGGCAGGCTTCCTGAGTGAACTTGTGGCCGCAGGCAGTCAGACGGCTGAAGAGAGGCAGCCTAGAAGCAAGTTTGAATTTCCCTCCAAAATGTTCAGGAGAAAAGAATCATTTAAAAATTCAATTTAAAGGGGAAAATGTGGGAAAATTCACCAATTAATGCTAGAAAGTTCAAATTTGGAGGAGAGATCAATTCTCACAGCTAGTCCAGGTTGGACTGAGTCTAAACTTGGAGGAGTCACCAAGGGCTTGATGACATCATAAGTATAGACTCGATCCAATTGGTTACTGGACAGAACAAACCCATTCTGGCTGCTGTCTCCACGATCATAGGAGAATGAGTTTGATTATTTGCATTGCTACAGAATTATATTTCTCTATGTAATATTCCAAAGAGACACATGATTTCAAAATGCTGTTTGGCAACCCCTAATAAAGTTACCCTAGAAGATTCTGTCTCCATCCTGGAAACTACATAAATTGCTGGTATTTATGCACTACCTCCAAGATGCATAAAAATACAACATTTTACAGTTTTAAAGGGGGGAGGAGAGGATAAGCAAGGCAGACTCCAAAAAATTAAAACATCTTTCCTTGAAATCTATCCTGCAAGTAACTAAATATTATAGTACAGTATTAAAATGCAAAGATCTTTGTTATTATCCAAATACCTTCTCCATGGAGACCATCCATTGTAGTTTTAAGCATATCTATTCTATCATCGGGTCCATCGGAAAATATGAGAAGAGCCTGTGATTGAAAAATAGTATATGAAGATGGTGTATGACATAGTGGAGCTTTGCAGGAAATCCCAGCTTAGGAGGCTTTGGCACATCAAAAAGTTTTATGCTAGAACTTGCAGCTGATTGTAAAATTTTACTTTCTTAAATTTGAATGAAATTTGTAATGAACCATTACTTTTAATTAGGGAAATTGAGAGCCATCTTTCTATCATAAGTGGCCAATTGGGGAAGTGGGTCAAAATGGTAAACATGGTAGCTGAAATATAAGTCTTATTCTTCTTCCTATTATATTCTTACCCTTTTCTTCCCTAGTGACCTATAATATATGCATGGCTTCCATGATTCTACCTTGGTTAGGAGTAATTGTTTATCAACAATTTTCTTCCTAGCTTCCAAACAAATGAATATGTCTCCAATTCTGCCAACAAATAATAATGAAATTGGCTATATTCATTTTTAAAAAGACAAATTAGGTTTGACAGCCCCCTCAGATATCTCTGAAGGTTATGTGGACTTTTGATGAGCCAGAATGATCACAAGATTATTGCCTAGCTATCCAAATTTTTAGTTAATTGTATGGTAATTGCATCACTCATCACTCATCACTCTGCAGATACCTAAAAGCATGTGATAACTCCTTGCCCTGTCCTGTCCAATTGGTCTGACTTGCAACGATTGGAAGACAGCATTGTTTTCACATTAGATGGACTTCTAGCTTCCTTTCCTTTATTCATTTTTTAAACTCCTGATTATTCCTCAGAGGACAATTTGACATACCAGGAACAAAGCAAGGAATCACTCAATTTGACATACCAGGAACAAAGCAAGGAATCACTCAAAATTTATTGAAATGTATTTAGGTCATTCCTGCTACATAAAATAATAGTAAAATTATTACCTTCACATTGGCAGAATCCTCACTAATCAATCTGTCCCAGAAAGATAGCAAGAAGTCCACTGTCAAATGAGTTTCCACAGTTGTTTGTACAGCCCAGAATTTCTGAAATATTTCATCATTGTAACTTTCAAAACCTGAGTCAAACAAAGTTGAGCTGCTTCCTGTGTACACTTGGTATCTGAATCTGATGTCATCTGGAGTTACTGCAGTACAACTGATATTGTTTACTATACTCATTTGTTGAAGGATCCGGGGCAAGAATGCTTGTATTATTTGCTTCAAACTGATTGCAGATGGAGACCTCACAGGCTCAGAAATATCCACCCCTATAGAAATATCTATCTCACAATCTGTAAAAAGGGAAGGAAATGGGCAATTATGAAAGTTATCTTCATTACAATCTTTCCATCAGCACTGAGAATATGAGAAAAATAGTAAATATTAAATATTAATGTTGCAGTTGAAATATCTGGGTATTCTCCAATTAGTATAATTTGGCTTGAAAGATACACTCACTTGATTTATTGTTACTATTGTTATTGTTTGTAGGAGAATATTTGTAGCTCAGGATTGAAATGAGGGGACCTTAATGCTCTCTGGACTTGTTTATTTTCCTGCAAACATTTCAATAACCAAACTATGGTTAGGTGTGTCCATATGTTGTGAAATTAAAGAGTTTTCATCATGACTTCTGACAGCTAGTTGGTGGATCGTGGATGCTTTCTGCTAGTCTTTTAAGACTCATATGGACAGATACAACCATGGCTTCAACTGGGAAACTGTGACCATCCAAGACTGAATCAAGTTCCAAAACGCTAAAGAATTTCTGGAAACCTGATACTCTGACAAATTTGTTATCAATAGGCACATATACATAAGCAAGATCTACATAACTGTGCAAAGGAGACATTCAACAAGCCCAAGAGAGAATAAAAAGATTAAAATACTTCCCCACCAGCAATCAACACACAGGTGCGCATAGTTTAACACAAAGATTAACATCAAACCAATAATGAGGAAGTAAACAGCACCACTATCAAGAAACTGCCAAACAAGCTAACAGTAAACAGTCCAAACAAAAAACTTCTAAAACTACATCCAACAACCCTTTTTGTTATTTGCTGAAAATATCTTACTGCTGGTATCTTTAAAAAAACAACTGGTGTTAGTCCCTTTGGAATGATGCAAAAAAAAAAAAATTATCAAAATTTTCCAAAGTAGCAGAACATTTTAGCTTTTGCAAGTATCAGCAAACATAATGAGATTTTCCAGCAATCAAGCAATTCTGAACTATGACATGGATCAAAGCAAGCTCACGTTTGTTTCATTTAAAATAGATTGTCTATTAAGGGGAAAATACAGGTTCTCATTATTTGCTATGTTCTATCTATAGTCACCATGAACAATCAGCAAATACTGAACCTCAGCTGGGAATGTCAGCTGGCCCAATTGGAATTGGCCAACTCAAATGTTTCATTTTTCTGTGCAAGTCCATGAATAATCACAAAAGCAATATAAATATTGATTCTCCATTCCCACCCCACTTTGGGGCCAGTCAGAGGTAGCATTTACCATTTCTCTAAACTACTCAAAATTCCCACTACCAGTTCTCCAGAATTGGTCAGAACCTGCTGAATACCACCTCTACTCTGAACGTTCCTGATTGCGGTGCCCATTTATGATACAAGGTGGCTCCAGGGAAGGGAGAGAGTCTGGAAAAGCCATTTGTCTTTCTTTCTGGTATGAAACCAGCTCATCCTCCTGGGTGGCACCTTGCAAAGCATGCAAGCATGTCCTACAACTCAGCTGGTAAATTGGCAGCCAAACTACAATTCTGCACTAACATTGTGATCTCCCAGCTCATTTGCATTAGCATATGCAAATGAGAAGGAAAAGGAGAAGGAAGAAGAGGAAGAAGAGGAGTGCTCCAATACCAATTCAGCTTATTCCAAAGTATTCAAATGAAATTGTTTCTTTTTATCAAGAAAAACCATACAGGATTTTTGTAAACATTACACTCCTCCCTCTCTTTCATTGATTTTATTAATTTTATCTAAACCTTAATCTAAAATCCAGTACATTTCAATTTTACATTGCTTTTGTTATCATTTTTGTATTCTTTTAAGTTACTGTAATCTATTTTCCTCAATACCAAATTCATTCAGTATTTCTTAAATTTCCTCTTCAATTTTCTTCACATGATTGTAGCCTATTTCTCCCTTTTGATATATAATATCCTTCTTAATTGAAGCAAAGCAGTTGCTTAAAAAGAAAGCATTGAAACTATTTATCTCATCTTTTGCAAATAAAATTAAACCTTCTGAGGGTTTAAGACGGAGATGTATAGAGTTTTTAAAATGTCAAGACTTACCGGGATAGGGTTTATCACCAGGATTACAGATCTCTTGGACAATCTTCCTCATATTATGTGACAGTTGTTGAAAGTCCTTCAACTCATGTACTCTGTTAGAAAAGCCAGCAATTTTCTGGAGCTCATTATAATTTAAAGTACCAATGCCTATTACAAAGATGTGGATGCCATTTTCCCTTAAAACAATGGCTGCATTCTCCACTTTATCATCAGACTGCCCATCAGTGATGACAATCAAATACTGCATGACCCTATCATATTGGCGGCCGCCATTGGCAGGTTGAAAGAAGCTCCTGACAAATTTCAACCCTGTGCCTGTGAAAGTACGAGCTTTTAACTGAACAATTTTATCAATCTCCTTTTTTATGGCACTATTATTAAAACATTTATTGAGATAAAATTCTTCCTGAAATGTAGTGCTGTACTGAGCCACCCCAACCCGGACTTTGTCCTTTGCAATAATAAAACTGTCAACTACTTTTTTCATGACTGTCTTCATAGTAGAAAAGTTCTCTTCTGAAATGCTGTTTGAGCCATCAATCAGAAACACAAGATCTGCTTCTTTAGCATCACAAACTGCAAAAAGAAAATTGATTGTGAGATACAAAAAGATGAAATATCTCTTAACACACCTAAGGTAATATTCTGAATTCTTCCAGGAAATAGGTTCTATTGAGCTCAGTAAGACTTACCTATATAATTCCAAACATTATTTTTGGGTAATAATCCCAAAGAAATCAGTAGACTTTCCAGAAAATGTATTCAATGTTTTATATATAATACGTGTTTTTTCAAAATTAACAAAGAACCTTTTAGCACTAAAAATACTACAGATAACACTTGGTTTATGTCAATTATTTAACAATGATTCAGAATTACAATATGGTTGAAAAAAAGACTTGTGTCCTCAAAGTTATAGTTGTTGCACCATCTGGTCATCTGATTGTGATTTGATGCTTGGCAATTAGCTAACATTTTGCAGCATCATGCAGTCATGTAATCACAGTCATGTAATCACTCAACCAACAAGCAACAAGCAAAAATCACTTAACAGTTGCATGATTCACTTAATGACCATGTGATTTGTTTAACTAGCAGGATCACAATGATTGTAAAATTGGTTCTGGTCATGAGATGCCTTATTCAATGAGTGCAGCAATTAGTGACCAAAATTGTGGTTAAAGGTGAGAACTATCTGTATCATATAGATAATATAATCAAAACTAATATTGATGGCCAGGCTCAAAGATGTGGACTTTTTCATGTTAAAAAAAGGATAGGTTATCTCATAATATATTAAACTATGGAGCCTCACAAGACATGTTTCCTCCTAATGTGTGCCTTGAGGACTGAAATCTTTGAGAAGGAAAATTGTCATTACAGCGCTTTATTTCCTTTAATGTTGGCTATTTATATTATTTAATCTTGATAAGCAGGGAACTTCAGGTTGTTACTGTCCCATTTCTCCTGAAATTGCACACTTATTATATCATACATTCTTCATAGCCTAACAAAACTGTTCTGCAATATGAATAATACAAGAGCTAAAGGAAATGAAATATACTTCTTTCCAAATGATGAAAAAATTACATGAATCAGATGCATAGAAAAGTTAATTATATGATTGTTATCTTGTACTTCCCAGACCAAATTCCTGTTCTGTAAACAATATCTAGCATATATCCTAATAGCCCAACCTGATCCCTACCAAAAGTTTGCAATGTTCAGGAGACAAAATGTAGCCCAGGCTTGTCAAAAGTTGTGTTTGACAGCTGTTTTTTTATTTGGCCAAGATGCAGGTTTTTAGAAACTATGTAAGGAAAACCAGGAACAAAATGAGGGACTGTAGAGGGAAGAGGTCTCCAATTCAATTCTTCCAGTCCATCCCAAGTGGTTTTACTCACGAAGCGAGACGAAGATTTAATGTGGCAATATATAATGAATGCTAATAATAAATCAAATGTATACATTAACAAAGGTTCTAGTTACCTGTTTTTGATTCATCACATATAAGATAAGTTATGTTTTCATATAAACTGTCCAATGCATTGTAACTGGAAGTAAAAAACCATCTTCCCTTCTCACCAACTATTTCTGCTAGTTCTGTTCTACTAGCATCCTCTATCCCAACAGCAATGACCTGAATGCCTTCTTGCTTCAAAGCCTGAACTGCTGCTGAGAGATTAGGTCTATCTGTGGATGCTGTTGGTTCATCTGTGATCAAAACGATGATCTTTGTGATACCTAAGTGTGATATCCGTCCACCATAAGCAATTCCAAAGAGTTCCCTTGCAAAATTCAAAGCTCTTGTCGTATAGGTTAATCCTCTTAAAGGAACTAGTTTTTTAATGGCTTCCCTGAGTTGAGATTTTGTGGAATAGGTATTTAGTTGAAATTTTTGTTCCGGTAGAGTACCAAAGATAACAGCTCCAAACTGAGCATTGTCTTTGCCCACAACTGAGTTATTCACAATTGCTTCCATAAGCCGTTGAATCCCCTTGAATTGCAGATCTGTAACATCTCTAGATCCATGAACTACGAAGATTATGTCAGCAACTTCAATTTGCTTGCATACTGTCATCAGAAAAGCAAAATGGCATTGTTAAAATAAAGTTTTGCTTCAATAGTCTAGCATCAAGTGCTTTCTTAACCTTGCTATTAACTATTGGGACATTTCTTTGAAAAAAATGAATTGCTAAAGGTGAGGTTAAAATAGAAAAATAGAGAACAATAGAGAATAAAGTAGAATTGGAGAATAGATGACGGTCCAGAGTTTAAGGGCTATAGCTGGAGACAATTGCTGAAAGCTGTAACTCAGCAAATTCCATTAAAAAAGGGCTTAAACCAAGGTAATCAAAATAATTAAGCATTTGGTAAATGAAACTGTTGAGAATAAGAAAGATTATCTTGATGGAGAGAGGAGTGATCCATTACCAAAGGAACAAGGAGGGAAATACTGCTTAAGCCGAACAGTGAAGGGAGAAGAAGGATCCAGATAGTCCTTGATTTATGACTATTTTTGGCAATGGTTCAAAGTTATAATGGCCTTGGCAAATGTGGTTTAATAATACTAACTTAGTACTGTACTCATACTTATGATAGTTGTACCATCACCATGGTCACAATTGCAATTTGAGGGCTTGGCAACAAGCTTGAATTTATGACTGGTTGCAATATCCTGCAATCATGATTGTGATTTGTAAGGGTTTTTTTGCCAATTTTTAGCAAAAAAAACCCAAACAAAACAACCAACAACCTGCCCATTGAGTAAGATGGATTCACTTAATGACCATGTTATTCACTTAAAAACTGCATTATTTTCTCAATGACTATGGTAATTTACTTTGTGACTCTCATAAAAATGTTCATAAAACCAATCCAACTTGAATTATGACTGCAATGTTGTATGATAGAAATTCCAGTCATTTGTGTTCATAAATTGAGGACTATCTGTAATCTGAGTTGCAAGATTATGTTACTACTTTTTTTTCTACCATACAGTCATAACCTACAAGTCCCTGAACTGTTACTATAGTGAATTTTTATAAAAATAATTTTAGTCTTAATGTGGAGGTGATTATTTTTTGTTCAGATCTACATTTTGGTGATTGACATGGAATTATTCAAATTACTTTAAAATGAACCAGAGCACTGTCTACTCTCTTAGCATCTAACAATTATTATATTTTTTAAATATCTCTCTCTTGATCAAGGGCAGATTGCATAGCATCTTATGAGATACTCTTGTAATATTACATAAAATAATATGGAGCTCATCAGGTGCATGGATACTTTTCTCAGGAATATATAGGCAGCTGTCTTGAAGAGTAGAGGAAATAATGACTGTGGTTGTTTTGTGCAATAGGGATTTTACAGACTCTGTGAAGCCTATTGGCTTCTTTTGAATAAGTCAGTTTTTTCAACCTCAATAAATACCTTTTTATATGGATAAAGTGTAATAGAATCCATATAATGTATACATATAATCTGCATTACAGTTCCTTCAAATTTCATAACATAAAGGATAATGTAAAACATCAACATGACTGGATAAATCCTAAAGAGAGATGAAAATGTTTTGCTGTCTGAAAGCAGTTTGACTAGTGCTTAAATCTTACTTTTCAAAAAAGCTACGGGTAATGAATAGTCACTTAAGAACAGCACAATTATTTAGGGGATAGAAACCGGCTGCAGGATAAAATTAGCTCTGATCTCAAACCTTTTACTGCTGTTTTTTATATGATCACTTGCCCTGTGAGGTAATCCAGACAGGAAATACAACCAGGAGTATGAGTACAGGACAAGAACCACAACCAGGAGTACAATAAGTCTTTATTGTAAGATTAAATTGGTCCTCATTCTTCTGCTGTACTATGACAGCATTAAGACTTGGCCCTGTCTCCTAGCAGAAGATGCAAGGTGGTTGATGGCTTAAGGTAAGGTGACCAGACGTCCCGCTTTTGGCGGGACACACCCGCTTTCCAACGCACTTTCCCACGTCCCGCCCGCCTTTTTAAAAGGCACGCTTTTTTTGGCGCTGGCAACTCCCGCCCATCAGCTGCTAGCTTGCTGGGCTGGCTCATCGTTCTGTTCTCTATCAGATGAGCCAGCCCAGCAAGCTAGCAGCTGATGGGCGGGAGCTGCGAGCGCCAAAAAAAGCGTGCTTTTAGCCTTTTACCTACTACCTACAAATTTAAGCCAGCCCAGCCTGCCGATCACTGATTGGATTGGCCTGGACTCCAGCCAATCAGTGAGCTGGCTGGGATGGGAAATTTTCAGCACGCTTGGGCGAGTTTCCATTTCCTTTCGACAAAAGACGAAAGAGGTTGCAG